CACACACACACACACACACACACACACACACACACACACACACACATATATATGTGCCATCCAACTGACTCCAGCGAGATAGGGTCGGCGGCCAAGGAAGGGTGTTGAGGGCAGCTCATGTCTGATAGATTAGCCAGGGTCTATATCCTTGCCACGGAGTTTCGATTTTTGATGGCGGAGGCTGCCACCCCGTAATGAAGTCTTTGAACAGTGACTTAGCACCAAGGACAGGTGGGGAGTAGAGCTCGTCCACCACTCATACTAATAACACCCAGTCAAATATCAGGACAGCACAGGCGGGTTTCTACTGGACATACTGCTTTGTGAGATCATGAAATCACCTCATTCTGCTGCTTCTAAACCACTTGTAAGAAACATAATAGAAAACCACATCACTGGTTTGTATCTAATCACATTCTGCAACAAAACTCTCCTGAAAACAATGTGCAAACATGTGTTTTCTCCTACTTAGCTCTGTTTGTTTAACAAAGGGAGCTGTTAATAAGTTTTGATTTGTGTTCACTGAGCTGATTGGACTGTTGTTTGTCCACTAACAGAAGTGTTAATGCTCTGGAGCGCCCATTCAAAAGTAGACAAAGAAATAACTAAATTAACTCCACAGCTGGTGGGAATTAATACACAAATAAAGCAATAAACATTTTTACACTGAAGTACACTGAAAGGTTTGCAGTGACCCAGCAAAATGTTGTTTACAAAATCTAGATAAGACTCACGGATGGAAATGTTAAACATGCGTTCATCCACATTACTAAGGCAGGATCTTCTCCTTGTCCTCCATAGGTGGTTTTCAGAATTTTGAAATTGGCGTATTGTGATCATAGACTGTATACAAAGATAGACAGTTTGTAGCTACTTATTAGATTAAAGACTCAAGATAAGTATTTTTGGGCAGCTGCCATGTCGTTATTTTGGAGTCAGAGGTTACCATATTTGATCAGGAGGGTGATGTCGTAAGCTATCAGCTAATATTAGCACAGATCCTGCTAATTGTTACTAAATAAGACTTCAAATTTTACCTTAGCAAAACTGAAATCCAAACTTTTTTGACAGTCTGTACCACACAGCATGGAATAATTTTAAATCAGATAATTGCTTTAAAAATCCTCCAAATTTAAGAAGCAGGATAATCCGTATTTGACCAAATCAAACAAGTAAGAGCAAGAAGAACAACAGAGGTAAAAAGTGGAACATCAGCATATGTGAATCTGCAGCCGAGACATCTGTCACTACCTTTTAACGACGCTGGTAAAGACAACATTAGTCTTGCTTGCGCGGCACTCCAACGAAGTGATTGCAAGCCAATAACATATGTCAGAGTGACTGATTTGAGTCACATCAGTATGCTTAAAAATGTTCTAACAGACACACACAGATTAAACAGCTGAGTTCAGTAATGGGAATATGGCGCATCACCTGTGATTTCCTGTAGAACACCACCATCTAGTGGAAAGGATGGGGAACTGTGACTTTGCTAAAAGGCTTTATCACTTGAGCTACATTTCCAATAGAGATACAATCCATTTGTAAAGCTGCAAGATGGTTTAGGTAAAGATTATCTCAGTGTTGCCCCTTGCATCATACACAATAATGCCACAATAATGCTGTAAAATAAATACTTACATTTTAAAACTGCCACTCTGTGTTTTAGAAAAGCACATGTTGTGAATTACCAGTCTTAGAATAATTAATGAAGTTGCTGCTGTTTGTGTCAGGTGTGTAAGTGAGTGCAACTCAGTGACTCTGAGGAAACACAGAGGAAAGAATCTAACAAACAGCTGGAAGCAAGAACGTTGTTAATGTTTTATCAAACAAGCAGAACATTAAGGAAATATCCTGTCTTTACCATTTAGGTGTTGATGCTAAAAAATGAAAAAAGCCTGATGTTCAGACTTTCCTTTGTGCCGACAAAAAAAAGGCTTTTTTCGTTATACTGCGTGTGTGTGTGTGTGTGTGTTTTCTTGCAGTGTGTTTGGCCACATCAGCTATAGGTCAGACTGGGAGCTGGTGAAAGTGGACTTTAGGCAGTCTTTTCCCCGTCAGTGCACTGAGTCTGATTATGACTCCTGGCAGTTCACAGATCAGAAGGTAATGCACACGGACTCACACAGAGATGCAGCACATTCACATGATTTAAGCTGTGTTATAGATTCTAGCTTTTTGAAGTTTCCAAGGGAAATTATCTATTTCTAAGGTCATGGCTCTCGAGCTGTGTTTGGTTGTATCAGATTGTACAAACATATAAGTGGCTACAGAGTGTGCACATGGATTTTATCACCCTTAGGAGGAAAAGTGCGTTATGGGCCAGGAGCGGACGTTCAGGAAGAGGAAGGACACTGCATTCTGCATAAAAGGAAAAAGCTACACATCAGCTCTGACCAACAAACCCTGCCAGTGTACTGAGAAAGACTACAACTGGTAAATATGCACTGAACTGGTTTCAGATTACATCATATTTCCTCTATTATTGTATCTGAAAGTAGAATGCGGAAACAAAAGCAAATGTATTGTTTATAAATGCAAATAAAGGACACTGTGCACACTACAGGGTGGGCCATTTATATGGAAAACACCATAATAACATGGGAATGGTTGGTGATATTAAAGTCCTGTTTGTGGCACATTAGTATATGTGAGGTGGCAAACTCCTCAAGATGGGTGGTGACCATGGCCGTTTAGAAGTCGGCCATCTTGGATACAACTTTTGTTTTTTCAATAGGAAGAGGGCCATGTGACACATCAAACTTATTGGTAATGTCACAAGAAAAACAATGGTGTGCTTGGTTTCAACGTAACTTTATTCTTTCATGAGTTACTTACAAGTTTCTGACCACTTATAAAATGTGTTCAATGTGCTGCATTGTGTTAGATTGTCAATGCAACCTTCTTCTCCCACTTTTCACACACTGATAGCAACACCACAGGAGAAATGCCAGCACAGGCATCCAGTATCCGTAGTTTCAGGTGCTTCACATCTCGTATCTTCACACCATAGACAATTGCCTTCAGATGGCGCCAAAGATAAAAGTCTAAGGGGGTCAGATCGGGAGACCTTCGGGCCACCACGACCAATCCACTTTCCAGGAAACTGTTCATCTAGGAATGCTCGGACCTGGCACCCATAATGTGGTGGAGCACCATCTTGCTGGAAAAACTCAGGGAACGTGCCAGCTTCAGTGCACAAAGAGGGAAACACATCATCATGTAGCAATTTCAAATATCCAGTGGCCTTGAGGTTTCCATTGATGAAGAATGGACCCACTATCGTTGTACCCCATATACCACACCAAACCATCACTTTTGTTGGTCCAACAGTCTTGGAGGGATCCATCCAATGTGTGTTAGTGTCAGACCAATAGCGGTGGTTTTGTTTGTTAACTTCACCATTCACATAAAAGTTTGCCTCATCTCTGAACAAAATCTTCTGCATGAACTGAGGGTCCTGTTCCAGTTTTTGTTTTGCCCATTCTGCAAATTCTGTGCGCCGATCTGGGTCATCCTCGTTGAGATGCTGCAGTAGCTGGATTTTGTAAGAGTGCCGTTTGTGAGAAGCTAATATCCGCCGAAGGGATGTTCAACTAATGCCACTCTCCAGTGAGATGCGGAGAGTGCTACGCTGTGGGCTCTTGCTGAATGAAGCTAGGACAGCCACTGATGTTTCTTCATTAGTAACAGTTTGCTTGCGTCCACATTTTGGCAAAAATCACGAAACTTAGCAAGCAGTTTGCTGACTGTAGCATGGGAGATGGGTGGTCCCGTAGGGTGTCTTGCATTGAAATCTGCTGCAATGACCCGGTTACTGCGTTCACCAGATATCAACACAATTTCGATCCGCTCCTCACGTGTTAACCTCTTCGACATGTCAATGACTGTGAACAAAGAGAAACTTGTAAATAACTCATGAAAGAATAAAGTTACGTGGAAACCAAGCACACCATTGTTTTTCTTGTGACATTACCAATAAGTTTGATGTGTCACATGGCCTATTGAAAAAACAAAAGTTGTATCCAAGATGGCCGACTTCTAAATGGCCACCATGGTCACCACCCACCTCGAGGAGTTTGCCCCTTCACATATACTAATGTGCCACAAACAGGACTTTAATATCACCAACCATTCCCATGTTATTACGGTGTATCCATATAAATGGCCCACCCTGTACTTCATGCTGTGTTATCTTTGAGGCCTTTACTTTTTCAAGTATTTGCTCAGACCAGCATAACTTTCTTGCTTAGTGAACAGTTATTAATTTTTATGATGCTGAAATGTCTTTGTAGTGATTATGGATTCGAGCAATCACACATGGAAACTGACCGCTGCATTGCTGACTTCTGGTATGATCCAGATTCACCACCTGAAGACTGCCACCTAGGACAGACCTACATGTCCAGCACTGGGTCTGTTCTTGTTGATTTTACGTTTTCTCCAACCCAGCTCCAGCTCTGTCTCAAGTTCACACCTACCAGCATTGTTATTCACTCTCTAATCTTGCTTTCAGTAAGAGTGCACGCCTGACTTCACACTCTGTCCTCTGCTGTGTTTCAGCTACAGGAAGATGATATCTAACTCATGTGAAGGGGAGCCAAACAAGCAGCAGAGCTCTAAAAAGCACAGCTGCCCCCTGCTCGCGCCTAAAGGATTACGAGTTGGCATAAAAGGGCAGATGCTGGCTGTGGCACCTGGGGATGACATCACATTCACTGTCCACCAGGAGCAGGTAGGACAAAAGTTGTTTTCTTTTTACTTTTTCCTCATTTATTCAGTTTCAGTTTGTTGAACATTATCTTTCTTTAACAGGGTGACACCAGCAGCACCAAGTATCAGGTGGATCTTGGTGATGGGGTACGGACAATTTACCAGAACCTGACTGTGACTGATGAACCCATCCAGCACCGTTATGAAAATCCAGGCATTTACAAGGTCAAAGTGAAGGCTGAGAATATGGCTGGACACGATGAGGCTACCATGTACATCCAGGTCACAGGTTGGGTTTCCTGGTGAACTTCCTTGTCTTTTAATTAGACAGCCTCTAAAATGTATTTTCTTTCTTGGAGGTGGAGTTTTTGCTGATGTCTCATCACTGAAGCTCACACTGCCTGTCACAAACACCTATACTCATTTGTCCTGAATTTCTATTAATACCTAGCAGGGAAAAAAACGTGATGAAATCATCTTTTGCCAGTTGGTTCGCTCCTCTCAGATCTGTCTAGCTTTGCCAAATATGGTGGAGACCGTTCTGAATCTCACTTCATTTTTCACTTCTTATTTGTCAGTTAGAAATGTTCTAATTCTACTGACACGAACTTTAATATTTAACATGGTAGCTGAGGCCTGTAGAGTCTGACCCTTTCTTATTATTTTAATAGAATTTCATTTCTTGTAGCCCCACTACAGGAAGTACACCTAGAAGTGGTTCCCATTGCTGGGAGAAACCATGAGGTCAATCTCACTGCTACTGTCCTTCCCAGTGAGGCCAACCTGACTGTCTTTTACTGGTGGATAGGAGACAGCATGCAGGTAAAGGAAAAACTTCAATTGTCATTCATTTATAAATTCATTTCTAACTGTAAAATCTGTGGAATTCCATTAAAATTGCGTTAGTTCAGCTAAGTAACTAAGGATTGAATACAGAGTGGTGTACAAACAAACGTGAAAAGTGGTGATTAAGAGGAAGAAACAGTGTGTCATGAGAAGCACTCCCCAGCACTTTAGGCCTGATGCTGGAAACTAAACTAAAACTTCATCAAAAAAAGAAATCTCTAAGACTGATCTAAACTGAGAGCTGGTTCCATAGAAGAGGGACCTGCAAGCTGAAGGCTCTGCCTCCCATTCTACGTTTAAATACCGTAGCAACAACAAAAAACCCAACAAACAATAATAAATAATAGCAGCAGCAGACTACATGGTGCCTAAGCCAAGTTGCTGTATAATGAGCCCAAAGAATCACCTAATTGTCAACTGGGTTGGTATGACAATTGGTATGAGGTGTTTGTGCTGAAATGTTTGGTTTTTATGTATTATGCATTATGGCCAAACATATGCACTTTAGTCACATATGTCCAAAAAACACAGTTGCTGAAGTGTTGTAGTTTGTTCAGATAAAATTTTGCAAAGATAATGAGTGCTGCTGTGTTCTTTCTAGAAAGAGGCTTTCTCCTGGGAACCCTTCCAGACACACTGTACTTGTTCAGTCTTTTTCTAAATCTTGAATTTAACATGGTAGCTGAGGCCTGTAGAGTCTGAGATGTAGTTCTTGGATTGTTTTTTTGCTTGGTTGGTTGTTTTGGTGGTTTTTGCACTTTCTCTGAGCATTGCACTGTAACCTTGGGGTGAATTTCCCAAGATCTCTACTACTAGCAAGAATGTCTTGAATTTATTCCACTTCTTCCTCCAGACCAGAAAACTGCCAAAAAAATCTGACTTTGTGGCTGTGGTTGGGTTCCCGAATTAAATTAATGACGTGCATTTAATTAGCAGCCCCCCGTGGCTACTTATCTTTTTAATTCCCAAGGAACTAGTAAGGGTGTACTTAAATTTGACACTCTGATTGTGCATTTTGGATAAGGTTTTGTTCAATAAACAATGACACAGCATTATAGGAAATGTTTTGTACTTTGCCTGAAGTTTTATTTATTTAATTTTAAGACCTGGTAAAGAACAGATGATTTTTATTATGTTCTGATATGTATAAACTTTTCAGTTTCTTTTTACAGTGACAAAGAGACCAAAATTTGTGTAGCTGCTAAGTATTAACTAGTTACATTGTGCACTGCCTTCTTGCTATTGGTTGCTGGACCCAGAGTACAATATGGGGGGTTTCTTGTTAGGGTTCCTCGCTTGGAACAATTGCAATACCAATTTTAATTTAAGCTATGAGCAAATTTGTGGCCCAGTGACTATAGCAATTAATTAAAATAGTCTCAAAATTTATTATGCACAGCAGGTTTCATATTGCATAGGTTTATTAAATAAACCCAAAAATGTTCTGAATATTTCTGACCTCCAGACCTCCATTTTTTTGTTTTTCCAGATGTTCCACATGTTTTTATCACTAATACTGTGAATTTTTCCTGCAGCCCATCCTGACGCTGCAGAACAACCTTCTGACTCGTTTCCCAGGAACAGGCAAAGTCTCAGTCACGGTACAGGCCACAAATAGCCGATCCATGGTGCAGGACACAAGAACTGTCCGAGTTTACGGTAACGTATGTTTGTATGTGCTAAGAGGTGAAGAGAAAGAGGTTATTATATCAAAGGTTCTGAGAAAGTTACATTTGTCTGTTGGCCAAAATAGAATTACAATATTCATTTTAATTCAATTCTTCAATTCAATTTTATTTATACAGCGGCAAATCACAACAACAGTCATTTCAAGGCACTATTGTCAGAAAAACCCAACCCCATATGACCCCCTACGAGCAAGCTCAGGGTGGGGCGGTTATCTGCCACGATTGGTTGGGGAGAGAGAAGGAGGACAGGATCAAAGACATGTTGTGGAAGTGAGCCAGAGATTACAGTATTTTTTTCGAGTGGTTAAACACATTTCTCGAAACTATGCCTCGTATTCTCAAAACAGTAAACACAAATCCATAACGTCTCACCCAATTTCCCAAACATCGTATTTTCAGGTCAAAATGAAGCTCTACACTCAAAACCATTCACTTGCTGAAAAAACAAATTTTGCCCACAGACATAACACACAAGGCCTCAAACACACACACTACAACATAGTCTTACACATTGGTGCAATAAATTAAAAACAATATTTCCAGAACTGGCAAGTCATATTGCTTGTGGTTCTTCCCCTCAAAAACCTTTTCACATGATGAAGACAAAAGACACAACCAATGCGTCTCCTTTTGGTCAGGTTAAAACCTGACTAACACAATAGAGTTACCCTGAACCACAGTTTAAGAGTGCACAAATGGCAGCATAAACTATCATGCTGTGATGTAACACAATACTTCATACAATATCAGAACTCACTTGTTGGTTTTTCACTCTTTCAGACTATCATTCAAAAGAACCAATGTATGCCAGTTTCATCTGGAATTGGTTCTTTCGGAGGATGTGGTCAATATGGAGAGGCTAATGGCATTTATCCCTCGAAAATTATGATCATCCTCAATCAATCTCCTCCTCGCAGGGGGATTACATTAGTGGCATCTTCCATGTTTACAAGCTCCCTCTCTTGCTCCTCTGACAATTTAACCAGCCTCCACCAGGTGGTCCCCTCTGTGTCCTACAAAAAAATAGAAGCACTCATTTACTGTAACTGTCAAATAACCTTTTTCAGGACAAAAATGGAAACATACTGAAACTCAAAAAACTTGAGTTCAGTAACTCAAAAGTTACTGAAGTTACTGTACAGAACAGTCTTACACCTACCTGTTTTCCTCCCTGAAGGTTCTGATGATGGAGGCAACAGTGAAGCGACTCAAATTTGGCTGTACTCGTTGCCCAGCCTCCCTCATAGTCATACCATAAACAAGGACACAGTCAACTAAAGTGGCTCGAAATTCATCCAAGACCGCTTGTCTCCTTGCCCTAGCTCTTCCCCTTCCTTGTCGCTGTTGTCCTAGACCTCCTTCTCCTCTGCCTCCTCCTCCTCCACCTCCTCTTCCCTGATGTCCTAGACCTCCTTCGCCTCCTCCTCCTCGACCTTTCAGACCCGGATGAGCTGACTTTGGCCCTCAAAGTTTCTGATTGGTGTGTGATACATTTTGACTCTTAGTGTTTCCACTAATTGAGTTCAAGCTGTGCTGACTTAAGTCAACATCATTGAATGCTAGTGCTTTCAAAATGACTACATGGCGTAAGCACTGAAAATCAAAGGGATTTGTGTGTACAGTTTTCCAATAACAGTTCACCAAATCTGACTCATGTATTAAAGCAGGGTATTTCCCTGCACTAAATTCCCCTGTGTTTATAGTTCAGGGGAATGGGTGTGCTTTTTGAAAAATAGCATTATGGTTTTGAAATTTGAGTTCAAAAGATAGTGTTTAAGCAATCGAGAAAAACTGTAATAACAAGTATGTTTCAGTGCAGAGAGGTCATTCATTCTTGCTAACATAAACAATGCTGTTAGCTTAAATTTAATGCACATGTTCATTCTTTCTTTTGAATAAGGTAGTTAAGAAAAATCTGAAAAAAAATTGAATTCAGATCTTTGTCCTACTGTAGGCTTTTTCTCATAGCTTTCAACCACATCTCGGCTTCTACTGTTGAGAGTGAGCTTTCAACATTCTTAAATTTTTCAGTCAGAGTTCGGATAGTAAAGTCAAAACTTAAAAGCTATTCCTGGTCTAAGAGTCACTGAGACAAACAGAGACAAATTTGCTGCCTGTTATTGTAGGGTCTGCCTTACAATATAAAACGCCTTGAGGTGACTGTTGTTGAGATTTGGCGCTGTACAAATAAAATTGAATTGACATTTTTCCATCTTTGGAAAATATTGTATGATCTCATGATTTTATTGCTGGTGTATCAGAGTTAGCAAGTTAGAATTCATTTGACAAAGAGATGTGCTTGTTTTATTTATAAGCAAGCTTTAATATTTGAAGATAGAGGGAGTTTATTTTAGTTTAACTCGGATTTTTTTACTGTCTGAACTCAAGTACATTTTAACTAGCTTTTTGCTTTGGTTTCATTATGTTGCTCAAATTATTTTGTGATTTTTGTACACAGTTTTATACATATTTGAAATGCTGCTTCTCAACAAGCTACACTACTTCTATTAGTTCATGCAAAAAAATACACATATGGATAGGCAGACTGATTTCTTTACCACATATGTTCCCACCAAGGTGTTACACATCAGTCCAAACAGCGTAATGTGTAGGTATTTGCAATTTCTTTTTAATTTTATTTATTTGCTAAAATAATATTTTAGGTTTTATTTGATCAATTTAAATCATAGCCATGATGCTTGTTGACTGCTCCTGCAGATAACTTCCAAGTCATCCCTCTGAGCTTCAGCAGAAACCTAGACAGATTCAATCCAAATATCCCAGAGTGGAGAGATGACATTGGCCAGGTGGTCACCAAAATACTGGCTAAGGTAGGTCTTTAAAGAGAATGGATGGTAGTGTCACGTAACCTAACTTCTTGTCTTTTCATAGCGCACAGTCCAGTCTAATGTCTGGTACTCCTATAAAAATACAAAACGTATTACTGTTAGATAATGATAGTCCATGTTATAATCACATAATAATAATATAATCATAGTTAGCATGCTAACCTTTGCTGATTAACACTAAACACTGTAGGATATGAATTATACAGTTATTGGATTAGTGCAGATTTAAGACATGACTGGCATTTTCATCTTGTGGCCCCAGATTACAGGTGTACCTCAGAATTCCCTAGTTACTGTGGTCAAACCAGGTCTCCCCACCTCTGCCAACCTGTATGTTCTCCCACTGGACACCAAACCAGCCAAGAGAAGCTTGTTTGTAGATAAGGTATGTGATCACTGATAATAAACATATCCAATGCCTGAACACGGGTGGTGGCATGTTTTACTCTGTGGAGACACAGACTAGCAAGTTTGTTTTTTATAAGTAACATCAGTTACATTTAATACACTTAATCTCATCTTTAGCATATTCCAGCCATCATTCAGGTCTTCAACGACAACAACGTCAGCTTTGTGATACGAGGAGGCCTACAGGTGCTCGTGATGCTAGCTGACCCAAATGCAGGTATATTTTGGTACATGTATTTTGCACTTCAGTACATATTAAGTGAAGTTTGTAAATGTATACAGTATTTTAAATGATAATTGCATTCTATTGGTTTATTTCCAAGAACTAGGTTATATTACTAAAGACTCAACAGTTACAGAGGCAGAGAATGGTGCGTTGATAAATAATATACCTGCTTTCTCTATAAATGCAATTAGCATCACCAGCTTAGTCTTTGGTTTGACTCCTGGGCCTTTCTTTTTCCTGCATCCGGGTCTGTTGGTGTTGTGCTCTGCTGTGTTTTCACCTTTTGTCCTTTGATTGTAGAAATGTGATGCATTCTTTACTGTGTGCTCATCAATCCAGGCTACCATGGAGCAGCTGGAAGTGCCGGTGTTTGGACTCTAGCTGTCATTTTCCTCATTGGTCTTATTGCTACTGGCGCCTTTATCCTCTATAAGTTCAAAAGGTGAGTCATGTATTTTACAGTGCTGTCACCTTAACGACGTAGGCACAAAAAAACCTGACAAAGAATGGAAATCAAACGTTGAAAGAAAAACTCATGAGGTGAGCTCTAAAGTCAGTAGTTTTGTACAGTAACATAATATTTGTAATATTGCCTCTGTGCACCACTGCAGTGGATTGTAAATGAAACAATTAAGATGTAATTGAAATGCAGACTTTCAGCTTCACAAGCTAGGTGAGGGCTATTCTTTCATTATTCCATGATAAATTAAGCAGAATGCAGAGAGACCCACTTACAAGCAGTAACTGAAGGCAGCTGAACTAAAGTCTAAGTGGAGTATCTCAAGAGATACACCACACAGCATCTGGTGAAATCATCCTGGATTTTCTAAGCCTCTGAAAATGAAGGACTGTGTCTAAATATGGCTTTAACTCCTACACAATAAATGTAATACTTCTGTTAAACGTCCTCAATTAAAGCTGAAAATCTGAATTTTAATTGTAACCTGACTATTTAAAATCCATTGTGGGTAGTGTGGAAATCCATCAAATGTTCAGGTTCCATACCAAAGTAAGTGACACAAATTGAAACATCCCTTAAGTTTCAAGGGATGAAATGCAGACTTTCAGCTTCACAAGCTAGGTGAAGTTGAAAGTCTGCATTACAATATTGAAATTTTGTAATGATGTGCATGAACTAAAATGTATCCATCTGTCCAGTATCTTTAGCTACCACCAGCTATTTTAATAAAAATATCAAATTCCCTGATGGTTGCATACACCTCATGATGTTTGAAATCATACAACCCTAAACAGTTGAATGCAAATTCACATTGTGCATGCTTCTTGTCATATCAGTAACCCACCAGCAGCACCTCCTTGTGTCTCTAACACAAATATCCACAAAAAGTCACTTAAAGAACGCAATGGAAGACTATACAGCCCCATCTTACAAAAACAACAAATCCCACAGTCCTTGGCTTAGGCCTGAGGATGCATATCCCCCATTGTTTTTCAGGAAGCTTCCATGCACCCACAACTACGCCCAGATGCACAGTGTAAAGGAGCAGGAGATGATCAGCCCTGTCAATCACAGTGAGGACACCCAGCAAATCATCCAGGGTGAGGAGTACATCGATGACGACCTGGACTCACAGACTCTAGGTAACGCAGGAGGTAGCCCCGCCTTCCGTTCCCTAATAAGGACTACTACTAACCACTGCTACTAAACCCAAGCCACTAACACCAGCAGCTAACACACACCAAGGTACTGAAGGACTTCCCCCTTTTTGTTATTTTTACTGCCATTGCAGTTCTTTGAGGTTTATTATCGTTGCTTCTAAAGTAGTCACATAGCATTTCATGGCCATCAACAAGCACAGCTAATCATATTGCATGACATTCAGTAATTTTTGCACTACATAATGCCTAAGGAATCTGAAATGTTAGTGTTACTGAGTTATACTTGTACACTTGCCAAAATTCTTTTAATTTTATCATACATGACCTGATGTCTCTATATAATAATTTCTATAAATTTTATGACAAGGTTTTTCATAAAATACAGTGCAACAACAAAACAATATGGTTATGGCTATGGTTATGATGGTAATGAATTGATTTGTGATCATAGATATAGTGGATTGTTAATGGCGGTCACCATTAAAGTAATCATTTTTCTTTCCTGACAATAATAAGTTCATTCTTTGTATATTTACATATTAAACTATCTTTGTCACGACTATCATTGTGACAAAAGTAAATCATTCTTAATTTTAAAGCCTGATTGTGTTCTATAAGATTAGAATTTTTTTTTTTTTTTACCTCTGTTTCATGTAATAAAGCAAATTGTATAAAAATCCCTGTCAGCATGTAGATCCTGTGAGGGTTTGGTCTACTAGGAGTGCTTAAGAAAGACACTGAGATTAGCAAATTGCAACTGGCCAACTTGGTCCTGTGACTTCTATTTAACAATATAAAGAAATATATATAGGAATTTTACTGATTAGAGCATGTGGAACAACTAATGATTTTTGAAGGAAAAACTTAAACGTAATTTGTGTTTTTATACCCAATTTTGAGCCAGCACGCTGGAATTCTTAATGAAGTCCAGAATTATTCAAACAATTAATCAACCATAGAATTAAATCAAGTTTACTATCCAAGAAGGCAAATTAATTATTACATTGTAATTATATAATTATGTGCTTTACTATTTTTTCTGCTTTTTTGTGAAATGGTGCATTTTGGAAGTTTTGGTGTTATGCGTGAGCCAGAACTGTATGTCACAGGACACCGTCTAATACTATACATTGCTTTATGTCATATATAACACTTTTACATAACTGTAAGTGGGCTTACATATGTGTTTTATGTATATTTTATATGTCTCTTTAGCATCTCTCATATTCTTTTTTATCTCTTTTTTACCAGGCACTCATTCGGGTGTGGTCCTAAACATGAACTGCAGAGAGCTACACAGTTAGCAGACCAGCTGATGGCCACCATGGCAATGCTGAAGAGCTAGTTGAGGCGAGCCGAGCTGGCTAATGAGCACAGGGACTCCACTCTGCCTTTTTCCTTCTCTCGTCTTTAGATTTTCCCTCTCCTCCTCCTCTGTCAGGTCACTTCACTCTTCCATGGACTCTTCCACTCTCCTGCTTCTGGGTATTGTGTTAATTATTTTGGGGAAGTGGCTGACCATGGTGTTGGGACTCTATTCAGTAATCACCCCTTTTTTTGTGCCAGCCCTGGAGACCCTGGACACAAGGGCCAGTTGCTCAGTTTGAAGGCTCATCTGTACACTGTCTGTCTGATAACACAGGTACAATCGGCAAGCATGTCTCACAAGACTGGTTTCCACTGATACTGAAAGTCAGAGAGATAGTTGAAACCACCAGAGACTAGTGTGCTAAAATGATTTGTGAGCACTAAACGTAGTTTGCATTGTTCCCCTCGATTATTGTTGCACCCCCCCCCCACACACACACACACAGTTATCATTCTGCTCCTCTCGTCAATGGCAATAATAATCTCAATGGAATGTAGGATGTGATATAAACCCTTGTGAATTTGCATGTGATGGGTGTACACATGCAAACACAAGAGGGCAGTGTTGCACTTTTTGAAATCTCCACTGACAAGTACTCTTACAGCTCAGCTTCTTTGGAATATACTGTATGTACACACAGCTTTGTTTATTTAACAAAAAGAAAAAGAAAAAAAACATTCATCTCCAAGTGTTCCTGTTTAAAAGTAACAAAATTTACAGATGTGTGGTCTGTGATGTTTCTGATCAGTTTCACCTTTGTCTGTCCCATGGTGCCTGAAACAGCAGACGCAGATCTGCTCAGTGACATTCCCTGTTATTTAGTTATTTCTGGAAACAGTACAGCCCTTTCTCCTTGTCCTCATCCCCGTCCTAACACTTTCTGGGTCAGAGCAGACCCCCTGGAGACAAAGGTTGCCGTCATTGGAGGGAAGCTGTAGTTGATATATTTTATTGTATCAGCCTATATTAGGCAAAGCTTGTGGTGGAATCACGTCTCCTTAAAAGTTTGGTTCATTTTAAATGTGTAAATATGATCGGTGATTTACGCTTTGTAAATATCCCTTTGTGTGTGTGTTTTACACTAATACCAAAATACATCACTTTTTTTACCCCTCTTTTTCTGGAGTTTCCTGCCACAGAGTTTCCCAGGTTTGAACAACATCTCACTGTTTCCACTTTCCTCAGCATCATTGCCTGCTTTACATTTTTGGGTATTTTCATTATAATGTCATGAGTAGGAATATTTCACTGTCTTTATTGTTAACTGGAAAAAAATTTCTTGTCTTATGAAGATGCTCACAGTTACACAGTGACAGCAATGTAGATGGATATTTTTGATATACTGTCAGTTTTTCTTTTCCAGCCCATGTAAAACACAAATGAGTGTTTCTGTTACCTTTTGACAGTCATTTTATGTTTTTTTAATTGAACTAATGTGAGCAGTTGCTGTCACAATGCACCAGACAGCAGCTGAACAAGTCTACAGATGTGTCAAGAGGTCTTGTCACCACCCTTTGGTCCATCTTGTATTCGATGCAGCAGATCGTGTTCACTCCTCCTGGTTTGATTCATCTTTTGTACATATTCTGCTCATATTTTTGTTTAGTTTTCTAGTGATGTGTCATCTTTGTATCAATGTCCCCTTAAACACAGGGGAAAATGGGAGTTATGATGTTCCAGTGTAGTAGTCAAGGAGTTTCACATATGGTACACAGCATATGTGAAACAGCAGTGTAATTATAACCACGACTCTATCCTTTCATTTTTCTCTGTTCTGTTCGATCTTTTGGTTTTGCAATTAAAATCAACTGTGTTCTTTTCAGGAAGCATAGTGCACTCAACCTGCATCATGGAATAAATCACTCCCATAACGTGTATGTCTCTTTAATTTGTATAATATTATCCAGTACAACTGTTGTCACAGTGTTTTGCTAACTAAAAGTCAATCATTGTTTTTTCTTGTTGTGAAAAAGGCTGCAGACTGAGGTAGACTTTATTATTTAAAAGGAAGATCCTCTGAAGGTTAGTACAGGATAAACAGGTTAGTACTGATGGCTACTAAGTAAAGAGCAGTGTATGACTGCTGCACAGTGGCCATCTGGTAAAAAGTTACTATAAGGTGTATACTGCCAATGTAGAGGATGGAAATCAGCCTGGACCGCTCGAGCATCACACAAAATACAATGAGGTGACCAAGTTCATGCAATCAAAGTCAGTTAAGATAATGTTGAGCTTCTACCTCCTCTGCCTGGTCAGACTGCTCCCAGAGGTACTTGGGACCTTGACCTTGGGAGTTTGAGGTGGAAGCAAGGCCTGGGTAAAAGCTTTAGAGCTTGAATGCCAGCCAGATAACTGCCGATTCACCTGCCACAAAGCAAGCCCTGTATTGTGCCTATGACAGATTTTACGTGGTTAAGGACATTATACTGATTATTTGAAGAGTTTCAGGTGGATTTTCATCTGAGTGCTTGCAAAGAATGAAATGGTCAAAGGAAATTTGGATCTTGCCGCTCCAATGTAAAATCGTTGGAAAACGACGTGTGCATGCCTCTAAGTGGAACAGATTTTGGATTATAATGTCAACGCTACAGTGTCAGAGTTTTAATTTTGTGAATAACTTCATAATCTTTGCTCAAACAACTGCAAAACATGTTTGCACAACACGGGTATGTTGAATTCTATAAGGCAAAGCCATAAATATGTGACGACTGTCTATCAAAAGTTACAGCTATCTTTATGAAGTTTTCAAAACACGCTTTCTTTCATCAAGACAGTGCGTTTCTCACTGTTACATGCATTTGAATGGG